CAGTGAGTTCATATCAAATATATGACTCAAACATCTTTCTTTGGCTTACTCTATTTTCACTGGGAGCAATTATCAATTGTGGGTTGTGAAAATGCAAACATATCTACAATCATTTAATTTGTGGAATGCGGTTGAAAATGAAGTTGAACTCCTACAAATATCATCTCATCCAACAGCAGCTCAATTAAAGAGTTATAATGAAAAAAATTCAAGAAGTACAAAATAAAAATTTGCTTGTACTCTTCAATTTTTAAAGTGATTTTTACTAACATCATGACTTGTGAAACTCTAAAAGAGTTATGAGATTTGTTTAAAAATGAATATTTAGACAATGATCTAGCTAAGTTAATGCAAGTTTTAAATTTTAAAAGAGAATTTGAGATTCAAATGATGAAGGAATTAGAAGAAATCAATGAGTATGTTAACAAGGTCATGACAATTTTTTAAAAAATTAGATTATTTGGTGATGGATTTTTCGACAGTAGAATTATTGAAAAATTTCTTGTGGCCTTGTCGGAAAACTTTGAGTTAAAGATTTCATCAGTTGAAAATTTTAAGGATCTTTAAAAAATTACATTTGCAGAATTAATTAATGTTTTGTAAGTCGTAGAGTAAAGAAGAGCAATAAGAGATGAAAAAACAATTGATGGAGTGTTAATTGTTAAGATGCCAAACAAGTCTTCATTAACATCAAAAATAAGAAAATTTTTATCATGTGGAGTATTCAAGAAAAACAATCATGATAAAAAAAATTGTTGGCATAGAGATAAATCGGAATGTTTTTGTTGTAAAAAAATTTGAACATATACAAAAACAAATTGCAGGTTGAAGAATAAGTAAATGTTGTTGAAGAAGAAGAATTTTTTAAAAAAAAAATTAGAGAGAAGTGTTCTAAGGGATTTTGATGAGAAGTGCATCAATAATTGAAAAGAAGTGTTTTAAACTATGAAGATTAAATAAAAAATATTGGAAAGAAGTGCTCAAATAAAATAAATTTAGTAATTATAATTTCTACATTAAGTGAGAGTGTTGAAGTTTAATGTAGAAATTATAATTTATTTTATTTATTAGTTTGAATTCAAATAAGATTTATGTTTAAATAGATTTAGAAGATATTTATTTTTTAAATATCATGTTATTAGTGGGAATTTATCTTTTAGAAGATTTGATTAATTTTTATCTTTTAAATTATGTTAAATTATTTTTAAAAAATTTAAATTCGATATAAGTCTATTTAAAGCCTATTTAAAATTGTTAATTTTAGAGTAAGTGAAATCACTGGAAGTTTAAGTTTTCCTCACCTACAAAAATCCCAACAGGTACAGTACCAAGAAGATGGATGAGTTTGCCATTTTCCTTGAGGGTGGTCCAGATTAATTTAGACCAACTTAAATTATCCTTTCCGTTGAAGTAATAGACTGTCTAGATTGGCTGAAATTCACTTATGGTATTCCCCATCTCAAAGTGGGTTCCACTATATTGAGATGTTATCTTTGACATCCTTTGCAAGTTTTTTGGTGGTTATGTTAAACAAAAAATTTGAGGAGAAGTTTTACTCGGACACGTGGCTATATCTGTCTGGCCGAAGGAGCCGGAGCTGCTATGCGGTCAGATTGGATTGGCCAGCGGAAGAGTTGTGCTGTGTGGTTAGACAGATGCGGTTGGGCTGGAACTGGCAGGAGATACGGCAGCTCCCTGACAAATATGTGCAGCTGGGCAGAAAAGAGTTGGCGACTGTGGTGGACCGACAAAACGACTATGGTGAAGAGAGCAGGCTGGTCTTGTGTGTGACTGCCGCTAGGTCTGTGCGGCTTAAGTCTACTCGTTTGCACAACTAAGGGAGACCGCAGCTGGGGCATCTGCAGACGGTGGTGGTTAGGTTGCATGTTTGAATGAGCTGCGGCTAAGAGCAACCACGGCTGGGCTGTGCACGTCTGTGTGAACCGCACGACTGAGAGCGACCGCAGCTGAGGGATGCACAATGGTGGTGGCTAGGTTACGCGCCTCGGTGAACTGTGTGACTAGGAGTGATCGCTGCTGGGCTCTGCGTGTCTGGGAGAACTGGACCCGGCAATGAAGGGCGGTCTTGGTGGAGATAGCCAGCTATGATGTCGGCTTGTGGTAGAGGTGGCCACTTTATGGTGGCCGGCTATGAAGGTTTTCTTATTGTGGTAATAAAAGTCGAATAATATTTGTAAAGAGTTTAATAGTTTTTAAGATATGACTCCATACCATGTTAAGAATGATTTGATGCGCAATTTATTAAATATCACAACCCTATATATATGTTCTTTAAAATAGAAAAGGAAATAAACAATTAATTACATTAGCACTTTTATCTACTTGGGATGCAAAAGACTTTAGCATTTCTTTAACCTAATCTATCATTTCTTTAACAATTTTAGTTATGTTTAATTACTATTTTCATCTACTTGGGATTAGTCTAGCTTCCTCCTCTTTCTTGAAAGTGAAAGCCCCTCCTGTTAAAATTTTTATTTTGAGAATAATGCTTAATAAAACTATACTAATTATTTGCTTCACGTTTGTAAACTCCATCTTACTTTCTGCTAATAATGTATTTTCGCACCCGA